ATCTGCCCTATGAGGAGAGGCTGAGGAAGCTGGGCCTGTTCAGCCTGGAGAAGAGAAGACTGAGAGGAGACCTGATCAGTGTCTATAAGTACCTCAAGGGAGGCAGTGAGGAGGATGGTGCTGGCCTCGTTTCACTGGTGGCCACTGACAGAACTAGAGGAAATGGCCAGAAACTAAAGCATTAGAAGTTCCACAGGAACTTAAGGAAAAAATTCTTGACAGTGAGGGTGACAGAGCACTGAACAGACTGCCCAGAGAGGTTGTGGAGTCTCCTTCTCTGTAGATCTTCAAAACCCGCTTGGATGCAGTCCTGTGCCACGTGCTCTAGGTGACCCTGCGTGTGCAGGGGGGTGGACTAGATGACCTCTAGAGGTCCCTTCCAACCTTAAGCATTCTATGATTCTGTGAGTATTAAATTTATCTTTGACAATACTTGGTGCATCTTAACACTAAAGAGCCACATAAAAACTTTTCTTTTGACTTGACTTCATGCATAATTAATCTTAGCCACAGAAATAATTTGCCTGTTTCAGAGCCGTGTAGATCAGCTACTTACTTAACCCCAAGCGGGACTGTAACTTGCTGAGCATGGGGTGGTACTTGTGCAGTGCTGTGAATTGTTACCTTGGAGGCCGTCTCATTCTGCTTATTTTTTGTAATAATTGCCAAGCTGGAATAAATTACCCATTTCCTAGATTTAAGAGTTAAAATGTGTAGCAGCTGAACAAATATTTAATGGCTATCTCACAGATAGCACTGTGAGAACTGTTTGTTGTTTTTTATTGTTGGTTACATTTTGTTAACAGCAACAGCTATGGTCTTGGTTTTCTTGAAACAGGAGCAAACCTCAAAAAAAAAAAAAAAAAAAAGATGGGCACTAGTCCAGAAGGGAAACTTGAGCTCTTCTCAGGCAGAGAAACTTTAGTTTAGCGGTGTTCAAGTCAGACACAGTGGTCTGGACTCAATTTAGACCTGAGGTTTGTTCCACGTGATGTTTAACTTGAAAGTACCACATAAAAGTATTTCTATGGACGTTTCTAATGGAGTCTAGGTCAGAAGCAGGCAGAGAAGGCCATTAAGTAAGCAGAGTGAACAGGACAGACCAGAAATGGCTTTGGTGAGGCACCTGGCAAAAGCAAATGCAGAGAAATAAGAGAAAACAGCTTAAAGAAGACTATAGTGTTTCAGGCCACAGTATGGAATTAAAAAGTGAGTGATAATTTGCAAAGTTTATATGGGATACAGCAGCATTTGGTTAAACGAGTGCATAGCATTTTCCCTTCGTGCTCTTTCAACTCAGAAGATCTGACACCGATCTCCCAGGCTGCCTTTTAGCTTGTTCTCTGGAAATGCTGCGGCAAAGCCTGCGTAAGGGCTGGGGAAGGATTACTGTCCTCTCTCAGCACATGGAATTGCTTTCGCATGGCTTTCTGTCTCTTCTCAAGACTGGCCCACTCTCCATCTGATGATGCAAGTCTGTGGGAATGACTCTAGAGCTCCTTCCAGCTATAGCTCAGCTGGGAAGATGACAGACAGATTCAACTTTTTTAGACATATATTACCCTAGCTTAGAAGAAAAGTAAATAAACCGGGAGGTTGAATAGAGCCATATGCTCCCCTCCACCTGAGGTATATATATTGGACTTGAATGTAATGGGAAGAGGTTAGGTCATTTCTGAAGGCAGCAGCAGAGCCTAAAACATTAAGACAAAGACTTACAAGTTAAGAAAGTAATGGATGGAAAAGCTTAACTAGCAGCTCCTGTTTTGACAGGTTGGTAGGGTAAAAGGAAGCTGTGCATGAGCCAAGCCATTACTTGCTTTGCGTAAATAAAATAGGAGAAACATGATCACGAATGAAGAAAAATAACTTGACATAAATGACAGTCTGTAAGTGTAAATGTTTTGCCAGCACCTAGGAAGAAAATTTAGTCCATACTTTAAGAGCAAGAACAGAGATGATTTTAAAAGTCACCAGTGCAGTGCTAACCTTTATAATAAACTTGTGATACCAGTATTCATCTCCTTCACAGCAACTTAACGAGCCATAACCAGTATGAAGTATCTAAATCAGGTCATTTTCTTTGAGGGCCAGTAAAATACATAGTTGACAATGATCATGTTACAAATATATTGTTTTTCTGTGTTCAGGTCTCTCTTGCAGCAGCTGTTTTTGAGCCTGACTTTTCCACGTTTTCTTGAGGCAGGTAAGTCAAGACAATGTTAAAGAGTCAACTTTGAGTCAAGTAGAAGGTAAGAAACTAGATGGGGGCCATTTTGGGTCTCCCCGTTGCAGCTGTAATTCTAAAATACCTTTACTTATTTATTTAATTTCTTTTACTTATTTATTTAATTTCTTCTTTCTGCCAGCTGATATGGAAGATGATGATTTTGGTGCTGCCCTGCCTAAAACAAGCTGCATCACTGAGCAAACTCAGTATTTCTTTGAAAATGATGATAAATCTTTTAGTGGCATTGTAGACTGTATAAACTGCTCCAGGTAAAGTATATTCAATATAAGTAATAGTTTGTGGACACTCATTTATGTCAGAAGAGCTAATCCCGCTACTACAAGAACAAAAAAATACATTTTTATCAATTATATCAAATTTACATTAGCAAGACAGAAGTCTATAAAAGAAGTATAAAGGGAGTAAAAGGATAAACTGCATTTCTCATTTACATTTGTCTTAGAATAAATCTCATCTTCTATTTGTGCTAGAATAAATCTGAATAGTAACTGGACTAGCTAAGAAATATTTTATTTTAATTCTTGTTTTCCAGTGGTCTTCATATATAAATTATTTCATTATATATGTTTTTTATATACTTCATGAAAATATATTTTATTTCTATAAGAATTCATTTTATTTTAGTCTATTATTTTACAGGAGTTCTGAAATATTCAGGAGGTGATTCTTATTAATCTGGTTATATATTGAAATTTTTAATAGACTAACTACAAGTTCATACTATTAAACTTCAGTTTCACCTTGTACTCAATAATGCTGAAAATTTAACAGCAGATGCAAGACTATATCCACTTCGGTGTTCATCAGTCTCTGAGGTTATTGTTAGAAGTCTGGGAAATATATTCCACTTTGAGTAACCAAATTGATGGATTTTTTAAAGAGGATACCCTCCCTCCTCAAGAAAAAGGCATTCTAAAGACATTTTAAAACATCTTTTCCAGCAAAATTATAAATCAGTTTAAAATTCGTATGTAACTGTATAAAAATGGTAAAAGCAAAGATGCCTGTGGTATTCTGTGTAAACAGGTATTATACTCCGTGCAGATGTGGAGTCTGGCATGCATTTGCAAACTAGAAAGATTTCTGCAAAGTAAGAAAGGACAAGTGAAGCTGTTGCTATTTTAAGTCCAACATTGCTGCATGTTTCTAGTTGTAATAGCTGTGCTAGTACAGTGAAGACAAGAAAATGCAAGAAGTCAGCGAAGGTCTGAAAAGGAGTGTGGGTCTTAGCCAGCAAACCGTGCAGTTTTGGTTTGTAATTAAAAAATAAATCTTTCAGGCTTCATGTGCCTATTCAAGAGGATGTTTAATGTTAGAATGAAACTTTTATAATACTGCAAAACCAATGCCAGGGGACAGGAATGAATAGGCACAAGTGATTTAAACTGGCTAAATCAGCCAGATACGTAATCACAGGGTCTGTTATTAAATTAGCTGAGATATTTTGTCCTGGCATTGTACCCCAGTCAGTGGTAGGAGCTCATCTGTGAAATTGCAGAAATGATCAATTAATTCACATCTAAGCAATAAAAAATCTGCCTATACTAGGCAGAGTAACTGTCATTGCTTTATAGAGAGGTTGTGGAGTCTCCTTCTCTGGAGATCATAAAAACCTGCTTGGATGCAGTCCAGTGCCACGTGTTCTAGGTGACCCTGCGTGTGCAGGGGGGTTGGGCTAGATGACCTCTAGAGGTCCCTTCCAACCTTACGGATTCTATGATTCTATGATTCTATCTTTATAAAAATGTGCTTAGAATCTATTAAATGCAGTTAATCTGTTATGGTGTCCCAAATTTACCTTCCTTTATAAGTTAAAGCACATTCTCTTAATAGCTAAGAAATATCATGATTGTTTCTCTGCTCCCTGGAAGGTCTGTCTGCCTCTTCTGGAGAGGCAGTAGTAATTTAAATAATACATGAAACTCATTTCTTGAAAATCCAGAAATAGTAGTAAATACCTGTAGCCTCTAACTGATAGCTCATGAAGTGTCGTATCTGTATATTTAAGTAGCTTAAAGTAGCTTAAAGATATAATGCTGCAGATACAACTATTTGGAAATTGAAAACAACCTTACTAACTAAAAGGCATTTTGTGCAATTACATGTAAACAAAAATACAACATATACATATCCTATATTCTGTATACATATCCTAAAACATCTCTCTCCTTACAGTTTTTTTCCTGACATTATTATAGTGTTTCTTATAGTGTTCTTACAGGAAAAATCAATGCTGAACTGGCTTTGTTTTGCAGTTCAGTCATTTGGAGTCATTCTATGCTCTTTTCCATTTTTTCCGCTAATAAGTCAAAAGCGAGAGCCATGCAAATGTCAAAAAATTACACCATTTTTTTATAAATGTTTCTCACTGTTCATTAATACAAAAAAAAAGATCAACAGTAGCCAGCCGATTGAATCTGAAATTGGGTTACTTTTTACTCCAATAACACATGTTGCTCCCAAGTACGAGTTTCCTTGTTCTATTTAAACATATCTTTTGTTGGCTTTCTTCCAGACTTTATCATGCAGAGAAGATTTCAAACACCAATCTAGTATTCATTATTAGTGACAGCCAACTGCTGTGCCGCTCCTGTGACCCAAAGCCACTGATGCAAGCAGAGAAGCCGGGTATCCTTTAAGAGCAGGTTATTTGGTCGTGTGGACTGATGCTTGGCTATGGCATATGGGAATATATTTGGGAAAAAAGTAAGGCCCTTCTCTGTGTATATTAGCATCGTACATGTCATTGGGGTGCCTGAGGCAGCAGATATTTGTAGATGATGGCCAACTAGCTGTCACTGCACTGGAGAGCAAGGCTGCTTGCTGTGTGAGGAGAACCTACATAGTAACTTAATGAAGTTTCCAAAAGGCCATGGAGCTGGTTCTCCCCATCTCTTCTGCACTGGGAAGGTATGTGTGTCTGGAGAAACAACAAAAGGGACAACCCCAAGAAACGAATGTTTGGTCATGAGAGGTTAAGAGTGCCTGCATGCCAATTTATGCCCCTACCCTGTTCTCTCCACTGGGTTATGTGGAGAATGGTGATGGATACACAATAAAACAAATATAGACATCTTTAGGTGGGGAGAAATTCACATCAAATGGCTTCTATGAGTTCTTGAGGGTAGCATGGAGGAGAGAGAAAATTGAATCATAATTTGGATTATTATACAGAAAGAATATATATTATAATCAGGAATAGATTTGGTCATGTCAAGAAGTTGAGTCAGCATGCTCCCTGAAAGTAAAACAGGTGATGGGAGAGAAAACAGTATCTCTTGGGCAGAAGCAATCCATTTGTTGTCACGTTAATACAACTGGAAATCCTTCCACATTGTGCCAAGGATGCTATGGTGAGGTGGAAGCAGCAGCCCTGTCATCGCAGAGCTGTGAAAACACAACTCATATTCTAACTGAGTTTAGTCCGTGACAGTTTGATTAACTTGCTGCTGTCTGGATTTATGGAAAGACTTCCCACAGAAAATGAAAATTTGAAATGGAAACATAACTGGTGTTTCCCAGTGGGGCCTTAACCTTCCAAAGAGCAGTAAATGTACTCAAATGGCAAGCAGCGTGACTGGGTGGACTTATATTGACTAAATTAACTATTTCACTTTTTAATTTCAACTGTGCAGTTTTAAGCCAGCCTCCATTTTTTATAGCTAAGAGACATTGTGAAATGCAGATGTAGTATAACATCACACCAAGAGGAAGAACAACCTTTGGGTGCTATTTGGATGGTTATTAGGCTCTGCTTTCCTGGCTGTATGCATGACTTTTTAGAGTATTCCTACATTTGGACTTGCCTTTCATCTGGGCCCACACAGAGGAAAATGGAGATGAGCCTGATAAAATCTGAATGAAGACAGAAATAGTTCATTGAACTGTAAAACTAAATTCCCTGCCATCTTGGCTTCTTCTCCACTGGGCAGCTATTCACTGCAATAAATTTGCTTTAACATCCCACCATTACTGTACAAATGGGATTGCTCTGAGTACAGCTTAGACCTATTAAAATAGTAAGTAGAGTTTTAAAGTGTTTAGTGGTTTTAAAAAAAACTCAAACCTGGATTTAATGTGTGTACCACTGACAGAAGAATTGATAAAAAGCTTAACATGCAGCTTAACATAAGCAGGTTTTTTCAGAAGACTGCTTTATAGAGTTTGCCAAGTAAGTGTTTTTCAGGTGAGCTGCAATGACTCACGTGCCTTGATAGCACATGGCATATATATACAATAGTATTTATGTTCAAATAACAGCAATTGCAGAGCTCAGAGACTTGAGCTAATGTATTACCTCATGCATTTGCAGGAAGTTAATAGCATGTTAGTTGAGGTGCAGTGCTGCCATTTCCCTGTCTTCAGTGCATTCCATTTCTTGTCCAAACTGTCTTTCTGTTTTTACTTCATTTTACCAGAATAATGAATAGTGTGACTCACTCAACCCAAGGAAACATTATAGCAGACTTACTATTTCATCAAATATTTTTGTGATGTTTATAAAATATTAGGGAAAGCAATATAAAATCTTTAAAAATAGCTTTTATTTTTAAATTGCTTCTGAAAATTGAATTTGCAAAGATATGCTGAGCCTTTCTGAGTTTTCTTTATAGAAGCAGCAGCAAACAAAGAGTATTTGATTTCTATTAATCTGGTGTTTGTTTGGCTTTGGTTTTCTTTTATTTAGACAGGAAATCGAAACTGTGAATGTTTATTTCAGTGCTACATGAATTATCATAGAGCTTCTCTCTTCCCATAAAGATAAAAGCAGACTGTTAATCCTGAAAATGCAACAGAAAAGAATTATGCTCCTTAACTAGAGAAACAGATGAAGGGCCAAATCCTTGTGAAATGGTGAAGCAGCCTAGATACCGAAAGGGGCCTGATGTCTGTTTTGATGAAGCCAAACAGGTAAAACTGAGCTTGTAGGACTTTCAGACTATCTTTTAAAACAGTTACAGAAGGGGTTTAGAAGAGCAGTGAAATATGTGTTTAAATGAACCTCGATACCTGATAACCTGCCTATCACTGAACATTCACTCTAGACCATAGTCACTCTATTTCAAGTATCCCATTAACATAAACATAAACATAAATTAACATAAAAATAACAGCTGCTTTCTTATCTGCCTTTCCTATAACCATTGCACTTTCACACATGATGTCCAGTGAAAAAATATCAGCAAGCGTAGAACTGATGATGTGCACAGAGTGCTGTCAAGATCAATTCTTCTTTTGCATTGGCAAACAAAAAGATTATATGCATAGTGTAGAAAGAGAATCATTTTATTAGTGGTTCCAAATATCACTTATGGGTTCCATGGTATCTGGCTGAGAAAGCTGTTTTCTCTTTGAAATGCTTCAAATGTGTAATGATTCTAGGCCTCATTCTTAGCAGGTATAAAACTCTGTTTCTTTTCTGAAATCAGCAAAACCATCTGGGTTTAGGCTTCTCTGTTTTGTATACATTGTAACAGTTTTAAAGGAGGAAAAAATGGTAATTTTGACAGATAGGATGCAATTTATTTTGAATGTACTTTCTCTCTTAATGCTGTTGAATTGAAGCTGTTAAGAATAAATAAAATTTCAAGAAAGAGAATGCTAAACAGGGAAATATCTCCAGTAATATAAAATAAATTATTAAATTAATTATTTACGAATGCATTTGTAATGCCTGGTCCCATTTCTGCAAAGGAAAGATTGCTCACAACTGTTGGGGAACTTCGCTGAGATCGCATGACTGGGACCGCTGCATACCAGATTTTGGTGCAATATATTCTCTTCTTTAATAAGGCATAATAATTGACATGGCTGTTTTGTTTAAAAAATTCCAAGCAGTTAGTGTTTTTGTTGTTGTTGTTGTTTTTAAACCCCAAAGATTAAAGAAAGTGGAAAACCTATGCTAAAGCTATTCGGCCATTGTAAATATGCCAAATCCTGCAGACATCAGACACGTATTATTATGTGTGAAAGTGCAATGCTCGCTCACTAGCTTGATGTGCTGATCAGTGTGTAAGCCATGTGTTCTGTAAGAGTGGACTGTTTTGGTTAAGTTTATTTGCAATATTCGCTGTGAATCTCTTGCTCTTGGGTGGATGCTTTCACATTAACTCTGCTAACTGCCAGCAAACTGCATGATATCTCATCTTGTATGTCTTTTTTTCTGTGTTTTCTTTCCTTTCCTCTACTTGCTACTTTGCCCGTTATTAATAGGATCAGCCTATATGCACAACGAGTCGTGCCTCTGCCATGACGTCCGCTCCTATCTTCATTTTTCTGCAAGTTTTCATGTGGTGTGGATGGTCAGTTACTTTCTCTAATTTTTTGTTTTGTTCTTGGCTTAAAACTTTAGCAGACCTTTTTACTAAGTAAGCAAAAGAAAACACAATCAAACATGTCCCAAAAGCAACAATCTGGAGCAAATTACTATTGCAATATTAAGAGAAATTAAATATGAAAAAGCATGTCTTGAGCCTTATAAATCTGAGCTGTAGAATATGAGGGCCTCTCTGATAGAGAGAACCTGCAGGGTTTCTGGGGCTGGTGCCCCGCGATCGTACGTGTGCAAACTGAGTCTTTGCCTTTCCCTTTGTGACTTCAAAACATTTTTTCCCTTGTTAACCCTTGTCCTCGTTAAAAAGAAACAGAAGAAGAAAAAAGTTTTTGGCATAGGAATAAGCAAAGTTACAAAGCAATGGGAAGAGGGTGTAATACCTGGGAAAGTAAAGTTGTACTTGGGGAAAGCATAGAGGATGGCTTTGTGCAAGAATAGCCACAGCATTGCTCTAGAGAACAGTAAGGAGTTTTCTGTGCATTCAATTTAGTGCAAATATTAATGATAAAAGGTAACAGCATGCATTGATTACGTTGTTAAACTATGAATTAAGAAAATTCTGAGTTTTTCTTTCTAATTTATCAAGACCAAAACCTATTAAATTGCAACAGACCTTTTCTTCTAATGAAATATATGAATAAATGTTAAACCTGATGTTCATCTAGTGAAAAAACTCAGGGTTTCCCAAAAATATATTAACAAATCCTTGATACCTTGATATTTTTCTCTGTGTTATGTTTAATAGTTGGGAACTTGCACTGCTGTGATAGTGACATATATGCAAAATAATTGCTATCTAGTGAGAGTAAAGGGTCAGAAAAGAGACTTTTTTGACCTTTTCTGCTGGATGGGCTTCTAATCAATATAACTACTCAGAAAACCACTAGAGGGAGGTACTAACATATCTATTATCTTAAGGCTAACGATGAGAAGCACAAATAAAACCCTGTAGATGAGTCCTCAGTTAGTGTAGTAGAATAGTAAAAATCATAACAAATTTTATATTTATTATCTTTACATTTTGGAGAAGGTTCAATTATTTTTACATGAATATCAATAAAAACCTTCTATGTAAAAGCAATAACTGAGTAATTCTGAAGTTTCTTATTCTGTGTCATCTATTTTCTATCAAGCCTAGGAACTTGCACAGACATGGATCAAGGTAGTAAGGAAGGGTGAAAATTCCTTCCTCAAACCAGTAGCATTTGACATTAAAATCTAAAAGATTAACATCTGATACTCTTACTTTGGCAGTTTACTTTGTAAGTAGCCTTCTTTTAGTTAAAAGTAACTACCTAATGTACACAAAGCAGCAGAGGTTTACCTTGAACTGAATTCTTAGTGCCTATAATAGCCTTCCTGCTCAAGAATGCAAACTAAAATACTTAACAGGTGGAAATCCTTGACGCATAATTTTAGTTGATAGACTTCTGGCAGCAGAACGTTATATAGATAATTTTGTTCATCCGTGCTGTTTTTAATAACCTTCAGGTTTTGGTAACAGGATTTCACTGGATGTTAATCCATGTTGTTTTATTAAAATCACTGAAGCCAACACGAAACCAGCAGATCAGGTTCGATAACCACAGCTCTTTCTTTTCATCAAGCATAACAATATGGTCTTATTGACCTCTTGAACATTTTTTTTTCCTGCTTTGTATCTGCACACTCTTCTTGTTTGCCATATCTTACAATAAAGGGAAGAACTCTACAAGTTTTCCTACCCTTCTGGACTGTTTTACTTCCCTCACCTCCCAGTGATGTCAGCGGGATCTTTGAGGGTGATTAGTGCCATGATGACTCTGCACATCTGGGTGGGATGGGATGTATCCCCAATCTATCCGTGGATATCTGTATAGCTTTGGCTGTGTTGTGTGGTCCAGGAGATGGAGAGAACATTTATGAATAGAACATTTATGAAGGATCACACATGGAAATGGAAATATCACTTGAGTATGAACAAAAGTATTTACTCTGCAGTGTAAAACAATTATCGTATGCGCTTGTTAAAGGTGTAGCAGCTGATAGCAAAGCTCAGATTAAAGGCTCTTTGGCACAGAGATCTTTGTTTCATCCTCTTATAAGCAGCGCAGCAAATACATTCTATGTGATTCAGGTTTCAAGACACAACTTACATAGTTGTAGAGTGCCTCCTAAGGGGTAACAAGTGTGTGTATACACTTAAGCAGGTATGTGTATATGTATGTATAGATACTTATGTGTGTGTATGTATATCTGAAATTATATACTGTCTTCCAGCAAACTTTGATAATTAGCAATGAATGTGTGGTTTTGGCATTTAGCAATGAATGCTTAATTGAAAAAAAAAAAAAAAACATTGATTTCTCTCCTGGAAGTGCTGAATAATTTTCACAGTGTGTGATTTTGTAAAATAACCCTCTCTAGATTTGTCATCGTAAGGCATAACATGAGAGAGATGACACTGGGATTTGACACTCCTCCATTTCCAATATCCAAAGAAATTTTACATGTGACTTACTAATGCAAGAAATATCTAGTATGCTACTGATAAAAAGCAACTGTGTAAAAAGGATTTTTTCCAATGAATAGAAGTCATATGTGCAATATTATATGGAGGATAACAAAAAAAAAGGCACCCTATACCAAGGATTTCTGAGTGTATGTGGTAGCAACTAATGTAATGGGTTGGAAGGGTTCAGTGGAAGTAGTTGTCTAATTGCACTGACAGACATGAAGATGACAGTGAAAATGATACTGTCCAATTTATTATAAGGATTTTTATAAGATAGACTAGGGTTAATATTTGCAGGAAACTGCTTACAGGCTTTCTTAAAGCTGAAGAATTGGCAGGTGTCTTCAAATAAGACATTTTGAAGACCATTTGAAGCTAAGGTTTCACTGAAGCTGATTCTGGTCTCATCCAAAATAGTAATTTCACACATTTCTATAAAAAGGTTGGTTCTTGTGCACCTAGGTAAATTAGTGTGTAATCAGTCTTTCTCTGCCCCCTGTCTCCCACTACTCATTTATTTATTTATTTTTGTGTGTGTGATTCTCACCACAGTTAAAGCATGCAAGAATATTGAGGATTACAATGTATGCTGCTGGGCTGGGAGGAGGAATTAATTTAGACAGGATTCAGTGTATCTTCCTTGCCACTACTACTTTTTTCTTGGATTGGGACACACACACACAAAATAGACTGTTTAGAAATTGGTGCATAAGCCTCAGAAGTTCAGAGTGTATTTCATACATATCTTAAAATATATATGTAAACTATAGGTACTTTTGACTAGAATGATTTAACTTTGTCATTCATACTGAGGAGGTGCCTCAGTATGAAGGTTTCCAAGACATTCTGTTTTGTTAGGAAGCAATGAGTCATTTTACAGACTTCATAATGAGGATGGGAGATAGTAAAATCTTTTCAATCTGACAGGTCTATTAACCATACTACAGCAGTTAAAAATTGTGCACATCAGACATGAAGTAGTTCTAAAAAATCTCAGCAAGTAAATGGAAATTGGAAACCACCCCTCCTCCCCAGTCACACAAGGTATACATATTGGAAGAGTTAATTTATCAGTATAATTTACACAGTATTTGATCTAACACGGTGATGACATGAAAGCTGAGTGCTGTATATGAGCTGGAGATCCATATAGTCTGAATCCAAACCAGATATTGTTTTCACTGTGGTGTTATTTCGCCCTTCCTGTTATGCACAGATTTGCCTTAAGACCATCAGCTTTCTTCTTACTTGCTCTCCAGACATATTCTGTCTGTTTCGGAAAATACTAAATTTCATGTTTATGTCTAGCCTGTTTCTTTCAGGGTGGCTCTGTTGTGTAATTTGAGTGGTAAGAGTTTTAAGTACCAAGAGGAAGCACTAAGCACCGTTCACTGGAGTGAGAAGAAATCTGTACCCGATAAGCCTTTTTCTAATGGTGGAAGAAGCAACAGGGTTATTTTTAGGTGTTGAGAACAGGAATAAAGCTACATGACAAGACACAATGCAGATGCAAAGAAGCAATGGAGCCAAACTAAACAAATCAGAAAGTTCAGTGCATCTTCAAATCTAGCATCTTACTCCAAATTTGGTGCAGGAAAGTTCAGTTATGACTTCTTTGCTGACTAGAAACCTTATGATTTTTGAACTTGAGGAGTGCAATCAGCTCAAAAAGCCTGAGTCAAAATTATAGAAGTAAATAATAAAGCTAACAGATGTCAGAGACATATCTGGAAAATGGCTACTATTGATACAGAACAGTAGCTACTCTGAGTCATTTACTTTAAGACTAAATTGTATTATTATTTGTTTTTAGAAGGAGAACTTGCATAATTTTTTACATCCAAGTTTCTTCAGGACTGTTGGTGAATGTTATCATTCCTTGCTGAATCTAATTTGCCTGCATGCTCTTATTTCCCGTGTATTTACTTCAAGCTGACTTAGTTTCTCGGACCTGTGTTCTTGGAAAGATGTGTCAGGTGTGGTGGGACTCACACAGAAGTCATCATCCTGACAGACTGGAACAAAGACATTACCTAAATCCTGTCCTAGCCTTATAATCTCCAAGATCATTTTTTGCACCTCTGTCATCCAGCAGTTATACTGCTTCCTTCTCTGACTTCCTGCTTTTGATTTATTCAAAATTGTTTACCATCATTTTGCTCCCTTCGCAGGGAGGTTATCGAATTCTTAATCATCCCTCTCAATTTCCTGTTTATATTTAATATGGCATTTTTATGGGGTTTTCTGCTGTTCTTACTTCAGTAGATTTTTCATTTCTTAATTGCTGACCCGATGATAGCCTGCTTCATCACCCGACTGACTGATGCAGAGTTTTCTGTTTTGTTTGAATTATGGCATTCCTTTTACCTGGGCTTCCAATGCAGTACAACCTTTGGGATTCTATGGGGATCTTGTTTTTTGGGGGGCATCTGCTTGTTTCAGATTTTTTTCCTGTGCTCTGTGTTTAGGTTTGTTTGTTTGTTTTACTGTTTCTCTAAATTTCACATAATTACTTTTTTTTTTTAGCTTAAGTATCTTTTGTGTTGGATTTGTTTGGCCTGATCTCTCACAGAATAATTGTCTTTGGAGCAGCTCTCTGCTAATAATTTTTCAGTGGGCCCTGTGCACCAGTCAAGATTCAAAACTTTTTTTTTTCTTTTTTGTTATAGGACATAGGTACTTACTGCATACAAAAAATCAATATCCACATCTCAGCTTGATAGTGCATTGATCCAGTCTATATTCAGCTTCTCAAATCTCATGTAGTATGTCCTGACTGATATTATCATTTTGATTGGGGAGGTCAGCAGTACAATATTGGTATTACATTTTTATTATAAGAGCCTGACGTTTTTTCCCCCAGGGATTCCATTACCCCCTCCTTCCCCCCCCCCCAACCTTTTTTTTTAATTTTCATGTTCCTACATGTAAAAGCACTGGGAAGTTTTGCTTAAGGATATGCCAGTAACCTGCTGGTATCCAAAGGTGCCTTATTTATTCTGATTGCACCATTTTATCCCTCTCCTGGTCTTTTCAAAGGCACATTGAACATAAGTCACATCTGCCTCAGTCTGAACCAGGGCAGGGTCCCTGCCTGTTGGCTTTCCTCTGCTTCCTCTTTTAGATCCTCCCTTGCAACCTCTGTAATTTCAGAGCCAACAGCCCAACTCTCCGGCAGCAAAGGTGTAACCTACCCTTCCTGCACATGTTGCTACAGCTCAGAAAGTTTCCTCAGTTCCTAATAAGCCTAAATCCCTCCCCACTTTAATCATTGTCTCCCCCTTGGAGCCCCTGGATTTCTTGGTGCAATAAATGGAAAATGTCTCATTGCATTATAGGTGTCAAAGAGAGCAAACACAAATAGAAAGTCATGTTTTCAGCCCACAGAGCTGCCTGTGATTCTCAGATTTGGAGAAGCAGAGAACATTTGCCTGGACTTCTGGGCAGTGAAATATAGATTATGTCAGTCTTGAGAAACAATAAAACATAGAGATTTTGAAGACCCCAGAACTTGTATCAAATGTGTTTCACCCACACTAATGAGTAAGTCCATGGTGCAAAAGATACTGTGCATTATAGAAAGATATGGCCCCATAACAGTAATTAATGTTAAAGAAGAGTGGGGAGAAAGACTGGTATCATCTAAGGTCTGTGATTCCTTGGTGGCATGGTGAATAGTTAGGTTCTCACACTGGAGTACAGCATCAGAGACGGTGAAGGAATTTCCTTCTTTTTGATCTTATCTGTATCTGTAAAATGTGTTGGTTTTGATGTGTGACACTGTCGATGTAATGGGTGTGAATATAGTCTTGTAATTGTTTTCTTACCCTGAAAAGTTATCTGTTCTTCCCTCTTTCCTTGCAATTAAGTGATACTCAAAATCCCAAAGTTGATGTAATGCTAAGGAGCATAGATGTGGTTTTACAGGCCCTCCCAGGCATATTTTTTATTATTTCTTGTTTGATTGTGTAAGCATCTTGTCTAGTTCATAACTGACTGCAGTAAGTCTGTAAGTATTTATAGTTATTATAATAATGCCACTCTTTGTATTAAACATTAACAAGCTTCCAAGAACTATTTTGATGTTATTTTAGGCATATAAGGTAAAAATAATGTATTTAACATCAAAATAGGCTCCTCAAGGATAGTTCAAATTTTTTAAGCCTAAAATATAGATTACTCTGGGGAAATATATTTGTAATTGTTGTTAAATTATTTCTTCTTTTCTTGTCAACAGGAAGATTCAGCCGACTGCGGTGGTGTCTCTGGTCTGAGTCCATCGCTGTGGTCGATGGTAGGAATTCAGTTCATCCTGCTTTGGCTGTTATCTGGCAGCAGACACTGCCAGTTATGACCTTGTTAAACCAAAACCTGCATAACTTAATCAAGTCTGGCCAAAACAATAGCCTCAATTTCATTTTAAAAGGGTCAGCTATTCAGACAGCAGAAGCACAGTAATGCTCGTGTCTGCTTTTCACTCCTTGTGAGACTCATAAAGGCACCCAGAGTGGCTGCATGTTGGAGTGTCAGATCCTTAAATTTGTGTGAATGCTGCATCATCTATGCCATCCGAACAGGATTCTGTACGTGCTTCATTGGGGAATCTCAGATTAATGTTTGTTTGTTGGTGTAATATTGATGACTTCATGTAAAAGGGCTCCCCTTAAAATAGCTTATATATATATGATTTTCATTTATTTTAACCTTTGGATTTTCTCGAAGATCTTATATTCTTTTACATGAACATTTGTTAAATATATATATATGTAAAAAAAATAGAAAAAAAAAAGTACTGCCCCAATATACTTTCCAATACCATGATGGCTGTTTTGAACATCAGTTTTGTCCAAACCAGTGGAATGAAATGAAAATATTGGCTAATCTTCAGCAGAAGTTCATCAGCATTGACGTGCTTTATGATGAGTGGTTTAATATCCAAAATTAATCAGAACAGGTGGTCAGCCAAGTTTTGGTATGTTTGTAAATTGTTGGATTAAAAAAAAAGGGAGAGACTACTGTATTTAGAAATATAAGGGTGCTTGAGACCTTAACTTAAAAAAAAATATTTTATTCTTCAACTTTGTCATCTATCAGAAAAACGTTGATTTCGATGTAATAATCACCTTCTCTTCACAATACACATATATAATGCTAGTCAAATTCTTCAAATGCTCAGACAAAATGCTTGTGTATAAAAAAAAAGTCTTTGTGGTTACTGAACGTTGGTTTCCAAGGGTATTTTGCATGATGATGATGCTACGTTATTGTTTTTCAGTTTGTTTTCTTTGATGGTATAGTCCATTGAAAAGGTAACTGAGTGATTCTTTTGTTGTGTGAGAAACTGATCACTGCAATGTTTTGCAATCAAATCATATTAAATTATATTATTAAACAGAGCTCTGAATATACTGTGCAATGAAAAAGCTAAGAAAATAAGGTAAATTTAGCTGCTGTAGCAAAACAGTTGAGGTGGATTTTTTACAGAATAGCGCTCTCACATGAAAACCTGTGTACAGATATTTTAAGTATATAAAAATCAGATTTGACACATTTATTTTTGAAGTTATATGTTCTGCAAGGTTCATACCGGGTTCCCCCTTTGTTTCCTTTATATAAAGATATCTGTAATGTTAAAACTTTTTTCTGTTGCTATTTATTATTGAAAACAACAAATCTAATAGAGCCAATCTCCTGGTTGCTAAAATTAAAACAAGAACTAAAAACAAATGGGGAGCCCTGAATCTCTATGTATGCACATTGATTCTTGATTGTGAATAATATTTTTAAAAGTTGTTTTTATGCAACCTCATTGGTGATACAGGTTGGTGCAGTAAATTGCAATATGACAGTGTAGCATAGTGTTGATGCAGAATATGATTTGCGCTTTTTTTTTTCTAGTTTTCAGAACTAAACAGTATTGCCAGACAGCTAAACCAATGAATGTGCTACTCTTGCTGATATTGTACAATTTTGCTAACAACTGCAATATGCAAATATTAACATGGCACAATACACTAGCTGTTTAAACCAGAAAGAAAAGGCAAAGCATTGGTATGTATACGCTGGCAACTGATATCATTTTGATCATGTCAAAAGCTCAAAGAAATAATTGGGCATGCGTTAATATCCAATGAAAACCGAAGAAGCTACTCAAAGCCATGGCATGGCTTGAAAGATCAAATGCCTACTGAAGCTGTACCCATGGCTGAATCATTATTTTTCTCATAATCCCTAGGTTCCAGATAAGTATTTTCTCATGTTTAGGATTACAGCAAGACAATATAATAATAAAAAAAGAAGCCCTTCAGATTTTTTTATATTATTTTTGGTGAGAAATAGTGATGTATTTTGGATAACAGAGGTGAAGATAATCTTGGATCTCTCTCTTCCAGTCACATTACTATACAATTAGACTTAAGGCTCTCTTATGAGGTGTTCGCTGAGGTGGTATCCTCATGTTTTCTTGGATATCGTCAGCTGAAATCTTATGGGAAGAGTGAGTTTTGTAGGATTAGGCCAATACTTTTTACACTCATAGCTCTTGCTCAAAGATTACTTAAACTGCATATTCATTTGGATTCTGCTCTTTTAATCACTTGGAAGCTCGATGGCTTATTAGTGTTATAGTTTTCCACTTAGCTTCCCAAAAGAAACCCTTCATGGAAAAGTTTCATTACAGAAGAATACATTCAGGCATTTCAGAAGAATTTGTCCACAGAGGAGAGCCCCATCCTGAGTTGCTTCATGAAGAACAGGATTAGAGTTTGGTGACATATAGCAAACTGGCCCAACGCCATCTGCCCCAGAAGATGGTGGGGACTTTGGTGTTTATCCCATGTCCTCCTGGAGCTCTCTGGGAAGGTGGGACGGAGAATCTTTGCTCCTCTCCTGATCCCACTTATAATCCCTCAAGAACCATGTTTCTGGATAAGCACCCTAATTTTCTAACAACAATAAGTGTGTATCAAGATAAAAAACTCAGGATTTGGCCCTCCAGGCAGGATTTAATATTATGCTCATAAAAGTCAATGTTTTCAACAGAAAAAAACTAAAGTTCTGGCTTCTGTTTGCAGAAAACTATTTTATCCTACTGTAGCCAAATGATATTGAAAAGTTCCAGATTTTTTAAAATGCACTGTCTGTGTACCTACAAAACACAGCACTCCAGAAAGCAAATGCAATGCGAACATTAGCTTTGCCAAAGTCTGACAGAAAAAACTTATGGGAGGAGATCCATATTCTTATGCAGAAGAGTACTCTTACTCTCATGTAATGCACAGTAGTCATCCTCTGTTGTTAAATAAACTTGATCCTGGGCTTTCAAATGAGACATTTTTAAATTACAATATGCTGTAATTACAAAGAAAAAAAAAAGTCACATAATAAGCTATGTTGATATTTGCTTAGATCCTTTAAATAGCATTAAAGGATAAATTTTTGAACTGTTTTAGTTTACACCAATGTCATGCAGCCTTTAGTAGGTCTGACAAATCACCACCGCTAAGGCTCTTTACAGTGTGGTACTAAACAAAACATGGTTTTAAGACTTAACATGAAATGTTTCTTTCTAATCTTTTTTTTTTTTTTCATTTAAACAACCAGCATTACTGCCAACACACTGATCGTGGTCCATATTTGTAACAGGTTTTTAACATGACATAGCAGGTTTGATTGACAAGATTTTTAGGTCCTATACCTTTGAGACTTTAGTATGATCTTTTTTCATGTTTCTAATGCTTGAGGCTTTACTGCTTAACTTGACAAAAAAAACCAGTGTTGCTGCCATTTGTAAGTTTTCCTATAATGTTCCTTTTACTAACTTAAAAACTGGCCTTACTGGGTTCAAATAGGCAGTATCCCTTTTAAGTGACCTTTGCAACCCAAGTGTTACTTGCTGTGGTTGAGCATTTTTTCCGTATCATTTAAAAGACATTGAGACCTTTGTTCCTATTAACACTGGAGCTCAGAGAGCATACTTAGTCTGTCTTAATTTCAGAACACAACCTCAGTCCCCCTAGTCCTAAAAATTCAGGTCCTAATACTCTGGTTATTAAGAAGTAAATATATTAATGCCTACAAGGCACTGCAGAGCTCTGCTTCCAGGATGTCTCTGAAGGTAGAATATCAATAACTCCTTTCTTAGTATAAATGTTCCCCAGCTCATTGGACATGCAAGCCTTTAAAAAAGGCCAAACTTTTTCTTTTCTTTTTTCCTTCATACCACAATGTTAATATTGTTAATATTCATTGTACACTACTGTAAAAAGATGAAAACAAAGTGTCTGCAAGCAATTCCAGAGTTTTGAAAAGTTAGCCTCACTCTCCTCCCAGCAACTTGCATCTGTGCTGTTTATGGTTTAAAAGAAAAATCATCCTGAAGAAATGAGTTTCGCTGAGGCTGAAGGGATACTGTCTTGTTCAGATGCCATGAAATTGCGAATTGTCCTCTCTTCTCGTGTCGTATGGAAATGTCTGGATCATGCTTTCGGGGTATTTTTATTGAAATGCTCGGTGTGCGTTCCCGCAAGCAGAGGCTTGGTTTGCTCTCCTAAGGCAAACAGGTCTTTCTCCCTTTTCTTGTGTTCTCTTGACACTTTTGTGGAACTTGACAAGCCTGGAAAAAAAAAAAAAAAATTTTGTAAAAATTTGTACAATAATGTTATAAAAAAATTTATAATCCTAGAACTGTTGTGTTAATTCTTGTGCAAAAACAGTATATTCAGAATAAAAGTTTATCATTTAAAATCAACAACCAGCTTGACCATTCATTGTGTATAGAAACAACGCGGACCTAGGTAATGCTGAGTAGGATTTCTGGCTTTGCCCAGAGGTCGTACCAGGGGTTCTTGCAAACCTCTGAGTGCTGATGGAAGTGGCTCAAAGACTCAGGAAGTGGCTCCTTCCCGTGCAGCGTTGCATTCCCAGGGGGTTATTTTCCCATAGGGAACAGGCCTGGGAGGGTGAGGGGCTACTTTTCGCCATGGCAGTGGTGATCTCGGGCAGGAGGGCAGGGCAGATGGCTGGAAGTGGGAACCGCTTTTAGCCGCCTGATTTTAATCCCCCGCCGCATATGTGTCGGAGCCCGAGTAGAATGGCAGTCGTAAATCACAGCTGGATTTGCTGAATCCCTGGGAAGGCAGATAAGCGGGTAAGAAATCAAATGCAGATTGGAGCGTGTGGAGTTCCCGCTCGCCCATGTGGAAACGCTGCGAGGCAGCGCCTGGCACTGCGGATCCCCAGGCAGGGATTAGTGCCCTCAGCTAGATTAAACCCTGCCGCGAAGCTGCACGATTAACCCCACATGCTGCACTAATTGCACCCTGTTCCCTGTGTGCCGACTGCCATGGAGATGCGGAAAACAAGCCCCAAATCCCTCCCCAGCACATGTTTAATCATTTAATTTAATTTCAGTCTTATAATATCTATTAAGCAAGGGCAAATACTTTTTTCTCTTTTTGAGCTAAACAGCTACAAAAATCACTATATTATATAACAGTGATTTTACAAAAACCTTTCCCTGCCACATTTATTAGCCCGGCTCTCCTTATCATCCTTGCCTGAACCAAAGCACACTCAAAGTGGTACCAAAAGTATCTTAATTGCCTGTTGCTAAAGACATCGAGAGTAGCATCTCCCTTTCCAATAGGCTGCTGTGAGATTTTGGTCACAAAGTGCGTGGAGGGCAGGAGAGGAGGGAAATGAGATTTTCTTTGCAGCAGAATGAATTCTAGATAGATTCTAGCAATATTTATTCTATTATATGTACAGACAGGTACATATGCATGTGCATATACACGCACATTTCTCCAGGTTTCTGATTTGGAATATTACATTCCCAGAAACTGTCTATTCCTTTTGAAAACTTTTCCAGAAGCACCCCTTTTAATAAAACACCCATACCTTTATTTCTTTCGGAGTCTCTCTCTTTTTTTTTTTCTTGAATTCCACTATCCAAGTTACATCCCATTTAACAGTACAGCTATTTGAACTC